ACTCACGACCCGCGACTCACGACTCACTACTCCTTATTCCCCACTCCCCATCCCCTACTGTCTGCTCGCGGCCAACGACTCATTCCGTATCCCCTACTCTCTACTCACGGCCCTGTTTGTCTGAGGACTTTTTTGGATTTCTGAAGCTCCCGGGATTTTTCGATTTCTGGAGTGTCGGGATTTTCTGGATATACTCACAACGCACTACTCAGATATACTCACAACGCACTGCTCACAATGCGCCACTCACCACGCACTTTCTCTATTCCAAGAATGTTCTGAATATTTGTTGGACATTTGGACTTTCTGGGAATGTCTGGAATGTCTGGAATTTCTGGAATTTCTGGAGTGTCTGGGATTTCTGGAGTTCTTGGAATTTCTGAATTTTTGGAGTTTTTGGAATTTCTGGAATTTGCTGAATTTTTGGAATTTCTGGATTTTTTTGAATTTCTGGAATTTCTAAATTTCTGGAATTTCTGGGGTTTCTGGGATTTCTGGGAATTTTAGAATTTCTGGATTTTCGTGGAATGCGTAAAGTTGAAACACTTCTGAGCAGTATTCTGAACGCACACTTCAAATAAAGAAATCCCAGAAATTCCAAAAATTCGAAAAATTCTAGAAAATCCAGAAATTCCAGAAATTCCCGAGGATAGCGGCGCCGGCCCTGGCCTGCATGTAGAGGAAACGTGTTGCCACACAGTTTCCAAACGTCATGTCTCCAACATGTTGAAGACACGTTTTCGACATTGTAAGAACATGTATCAAACATTTGAAACACACTGTATCCGCAACTAAATGGGAGAGGGTGGGCCATGGGCCCCAGGAGGGTGGCATGCTGACCCAGGACCACTCCCGTGGACCCCACCCCCGGGACCCCCCTCCCCTCGGACCCACCATGACGGGGAAACCAGGGATTATTTGGGGACCCATTTTTGTGGTGCGTGTTGATATTTTGGGATTCGTTTGGTTGTTCGGTTTGAGCTCCTTGTCTCGGTAAGATTCTTCATATTTTGTCTCATTCTTTTCGTCGCCACCTCACGCTGCAATAGAATCCGATCGCGAAGTCTCCGCACAAGGAAACCTCCTGTAAATCGCCCACGAAAAAGGGATCCGATGGACAAGGCGCACTTGAAGAATTGTATGTGTAATCCACGATAAAAGTTTAGTTGTGAGCCGCTCACAGTATGAATATTGCTGAAAAGCGGTAATAACACATTTTCTTGGTAATCCACGCAAGGAACCAATTCGTAAACCGATCGCACAACAAAGGATTTCTTTTTGAGAGGGGGCCCGGACAAGTTTTGGACCCCCCGGCAAAAAAAGGAACACGACAACAAACGGACATCCGTCGCCTTGTTTTCCATTGTTTGTTGTTTTCGTTCGTTTGTGTTTTTCGTCGGGGGCGGGGCGGGCGTGAAACGCAAAAAACACGGGAGCGGCGACTGACTTATTATTTATGACGTATGTGTATATATATATATATTTTCTGGAGGGTCCAGGATTCTTTCTCGCTCCTTTTCGCAGGAGAAGTCTTTTGTGGGCGATTTGCACATTCATTTCTATCACGTGGAACTCACTTTTTTGTGTTACTTGTTGTTGTTGTGGAGCTCTCTGGTAGGAAACATTTTGTTGGCGTTTTACGCTTGGATTTCTATTGTGTGGATTGCGTATACATTCATTTTTTGTTTGCGCGGTTTTTCAATCGGATTTCTGATGCGGGTGACGTGCAATTCGGTTTCCATTGTGGTGGTTACATGTAGAATTCTCTCGTGCGGCTTTGCAGCCGGATTCTTTCCGTGGATGATTACACATTGATCTGTTCTGTGTGTATTCCAAATTGAACTCTTTTGTGCGACTTTTCATTCGGTATCTTTGTGTGGGGGACTTACTAATTGAGTTCCACTGCGTGTACAGATCTCCGCCCCTAAAAGGATTATGTTACAGGCTGTTGGGCCTTTAATCGTTTTCTTTTCGAGTGTGATTGCGTCCACCTCTAATCGAGTTCTCACATGCACTGTGGACCCACCCCTGCTAGGATTCCATTGGAGGTGGCTTCATTCCCATGAGGATTCAAATAGACGTGGACCCATATCTAATATAATTTTACCCCAGGTGATTCCATCCTTCATGGAACTATAATTGCAGGTGGATCCACTTCTATTGGGATACTAGTAAAGGTGAATCCCATTGCAAGCCAAGTGCCCGTGATTCCGTCCATGGCAAAATCTCATTAGAGGTGGGCCCGCCCCAAAGGATTCTATGCGAACGGAGTCTTTCTTTCATCGGATTTGCTTATACTTCGCCTCATCATTGATGTGATTATGTTAGAGGTGGGTCCACATCTAGCAGGATTCACTTAGCAATGGATCCGCCCCTGATAGGAGTATATGAGGAGGTGGCCCCGCATGGCTTAGCAGGCATCGCATGGCTTAGCAGGTTGCCGAAGTCCCAGCAGAGCTTAGCAAGGCCAGCAGGTGTCCGCAAATATTGGACGGTGTCAGCAGGGCATATCTGGGGCTGGCAGGGGCTGGCAGGGCGTGGTCGGGCCTATCAAGGCTTAGCTGGGCTCGGCAGGTGGCTCGCATAATTCTCCGAGGCCTAGCAGCGGGCCAGCAGGATTTCGCCGTACTCAGCAGGGCTCAGCGAGCTTGGCTAGACCTGGCACGGCATAGCAGGGACCAGCAGGGCTCAGCACGGCACCGCAGTGTCGAGCAAGGTTCAGCGGGGCAAGGCGCAGCAGCGATTCGCAGGGGCATATCAGGGCCTAAATTGTTCTATTAGAGGTGGCCGCATTCCCATTCGGATCCAATTGGGAGTGGATCCACATCTAGTAATGTTATGCCCCAGGTGCTTCCATCCTTCATGGAGTTCTTTTGAGGGTGGACCCACCTCTAATGGGAAATTATTTGAAGCGAATCCACCGTGAATGATATTGAATTGCCCGTGATTCCGTCCATAACAGGACCCCATATGAGGTGGATCCACTTCCCATGGGATTTTTTAGAGCTGAGTCCTTCCTTCACCGGGTTTGATGCTTTAGCAGGGGCCATCAGGGTTTGGCACGGCATCGCAGTAGCTAGTCACAGGTGGCGCAAGGGAGACTGGATTCTTCTATTTAAGGTGGCCCCAGTCCCACGAGGATTCAAATGGAGGTGGATCTTCCTCTCATACGATTAGAGGCCAGTTGTTTTCGTCTTAGAGCGGGCTTTATTGGAAGTGTGCCCACTTCCGATTGAATTCTATCTGAAGTGGGCACACCTTTACTGGTTGCTTGTTTGCACGCGTAGCTCTATCCTTACCGGGATCCCTTTAGAGGTGGACCCGCCGCTAGCTGGATCCGAATAAGTGTGGTCCTTCTTTGATCGCATGTTCATGGCTGCTTTATCATTAAACGGGATTCTGTTAGAGGTGGACCCACTTCTCATATAATCCTATTTGATATGGGTCTTTCCTGACCGGATTACATTAGAGGTGGCACCGGTCCTGATCTGATTATATTGCAGGTGGCTCCAACCCTGCTACGGTTCTGTCAGGGGCGAGGCCGTTCCGATAAGGGTTACAGTATACATGGCCCCATCCCTGAGGAGTATTCGAGGCAGCGTCATACCGAGTGCGATTATGTTAAAGGTGGCCCATCCCTCATTAGGAAGCTGTTAGAGGGTGCTCAAACCCTACTAGGATTATAGTCGAAGGTGCAACATCACCAGTGGGATTATATTAGAGGTAGGTGGCTCCATCCCCGACAGGGTATTATTAGATATGGCATTGCGAGCCGATCGCTGGGTTGCGTGCGCCATCGCGCTTCCGCCTACGTGGGACTCGCTGGCCCGTTCTGGCTGGTCGTCCCACGTGGCTTTGTCAGGAATTCTGCCTTCTCGTCCGCGCGCGCTAAAAAAAACGGTTTGAGGTTTGCACCGCGGGGGCCGAAGTGCCTTGGTAAGAGGTGAAGACTGACTAGTTGCTTCCGGGGCGTGCCGAACTCGGGCTGGCGCGTTCCGCCGCAGCTTGGGGCGCTGGCTGCAGGCTGACATCCGCCCGTGCGCGGAGCCCCCGCGCCGGGCCGGCCGCGGGTGGAGTCATTGCTAACGCTCCCGTCGCTATATTTTCTCCCGCTCCGCCTGTGCCCTCCAAGTGAGGGTTGTTGATATTCGGCTGTTCAGCGCTCAGTCAGAAGGAGCGCGCGCGGTGGCCTCCCTCCCTTCGGAAGGCAATTCCACATGCGCGCCGAACTCTATGCTCGCGCTCAACGGACACACTAGCCATACCATCAAGTGCCCCCCATGCAAGGCGGAATGTGGGGTCAATTCTGGCCGATCATGTACAACAACATCCAGACCAAGCGCCCATCACTAACAGGATCCAGATAATGCCCGAACCCATGATAAATCGGCAAATTGTTTTTTCTTTTACTGTTGTCGAACACGCCATTCCAGTCCCTCCTACTTCTGCAGTTCTTCACTCCTCCCCTCACCCACGCGCGGCTATTACATCCATCTCGTTGGAGCGAAACCGATGGCCGCGCATCGCCCGCGATTCCGTTTTGCCCACTCTGTGCGCGCTCTTGTCGCGCGCGCTGGTCTTCGCATGTACTTCGTCACGCATCGTGCCCAGTTTTGTTGCCGCTGTTTGATCCCTCCTTCCTTCCTGCTTCTTCCTTCCTGCTTCTCCTCCTCGTCCTCCACCGTCCTCTTCTTCATCGTTTTTTCCTTACCCTCCTCCTCCTCGTCCTTCTCCTCCTCCTCCTCCTTCTCCTCCTCCTCCTCCTCCCCGTCCTCGTCGTCCTCGTCCTCGTCCTCGTCCTCGTCCTCCTCGTCCTCGTCCTCGTCTTCCTCATTCATTTGTTACTCTCCTCCTTTTTTCTCCTCCTTCATTGTCCTTCGCCGTTCTCTTTTCCTCCTCCTTGTCCCTCGTCCGTTTCCTTCCTCCTTCCTCCTCTCCCAGCCGCCTGGCCGCCGCTGTGCCGCGCCGGCCGCCGCCGCCGCCGCTGGAACGCGGCGGAGGTGCGTTGCAAGAGCTGCGCAGGGCGGGCGGCGGCTCTTCGGCGGCTTCGCGCGGCCACTTCGACCGCCTGGCCGCGGTCCTGTCGTCGTGCGGCGGCAGCAGCGCGCCCTGCTTGGCGGGGGGGGGTGCGCCAGGCTCCCGAAGCGCGGGGGGGGGAGCGCAGGCAGGGCCGTGGGAGGGAGGGCCCTTGTCCTCAGAGAGGCGCCGTCGGGCAATGGGGTGGCATCCCCATGGCTTGTGATTTCCTGTTCCTCACTCCTCCATCCTTCCTCCATCCTTTCTCCTCCTGGTGCTGTTGTTGCTGCTGCTCCTCCTTCGTCCTCTTCCTCGTCCTCCTCCTCCTCCCGCCTTTCCCCTTCCTCCTCCAGCGTCGGGGGAGAGGGCGGGAGGGGGGAGAATGTGTCCCAAGCCAGCAGCGCGCCCTGTCTGGCGGGGGCGGGAGGCGTGCGCCAGGCTGGCTGAGCGGATTGAGTTCATCTAGCGTCTGGGCCTCGACTTTGACGGGGTCGATGTTTCCGCAGGAATGAGTTCGAGTCTAGTTACTGCAGGTGGGATTCGGCAACCCAAGTCAAAAAGGGACTCAGCAGACCTCTTGCCCGCTGGAACCCCGCAAACATCGTCCCAGCGCTTGTGTCCCCTGGGGTTGGCCACAATTTCAAACAAAAACAGCGCTGTAGCCAGCGCGAGGAGAACCTTGGGAGGGGTGGGGAATGTGCGGCTGTGTTTTCTAGCAGTCCGAGAACCCCCAAAACCAGTCCTCGATACAACTAAATAGGCGCTTCGCGGGAAGCTCGCCTGGAGCCCGGGTGGCTTCCCTACCATTTCGGGGCCGGGGTGGGGGGGGGAGAACTCTGCTGCGTGCAGGTGGCTTCCGTCCCGCCGCCGTGCTTTCTCCCCCCAGTACATCGGCGCCTGGATGCGCCGGGAGGCGCCAGGTCGTCCGACCCGACCTTCATTTGAGGCATTCAAAAAAGGGCATCGTTTTCGAGGACTGACCTTCCTCGGAGGACGGCGGCGAAGCGACGGCGGAAGTACAGCGAGGCTGCCTCCGCGGAAGGCCGGCGGAAGGCGGCGGAAGTAGATCTGCACCCCGAAGGGGTGAAAATTGGTGAAAACGTTGTTGGGTTCAGGGTTTCCAGAGGCTACCATATCGCCGCCATGAAGCAGAGGCTCTCTGTTTTCGTAATCGTTTTCGGCCTCTCGGAACATCTCACTCTCCAGGGCCGTCGACCAAACGGCTCGGGATGAAGAGCGGGTCCCAGGGAAGACCTTCGGCAACAGAACTCTCGACGGCAGTTTTCTTTCGGGGGGCAAATTTCGGTCCCCTGAGAGGCCGCCGAATCATGGCGCAGGGAAAGCCGACCCCGGGGGAGGGGTCTAAGCCCCGAGGGCCGAGGGCCCACGTCTCTGGCATGTTTCAGCATCGGGGGAGTTGATCTTTCCTTGCCGGGGGAGTATCCGTATAGCCACTAGATTTTGGAGACGTGCCCCTCAGGGATCTCGCGGAGCGCTGGGAAATTGTGTGCAGACTCCGACTGGTGGCATGTTTTTTTTGTTTTGTTTTTGTTATTCGTTTTAAAGAGCGTTATTTCGATGACAGGCGATTGTGGAGCGTGCGGTCTGTTGGACCCTTTCTTCACTCTGCATTGCTTTCTTCTTCTCTCTGTTTTCTGTGTATGTGTGTGGCGCGTGTGTGTGTGTGTGTGTGTGTTTCTGTGTTTTCAGTTTTCTGGCCGTGTTTGTGTGTGGTGGTGTGCATGTGTGTGTGTGTGTGTTTGTGTGTGAGTGGATTTTTCTTCGCCCCCCCACAACAACCGCGGCGGACGTGCAGATTTGTTTTGCCGCGGGGTGGTGGTTTTGGTTGTGGTGGTCTGGTGTGTGTGGGGGGGGGTGAGAGTGTGTATGTGTGTGTGTGTTTTCCTCTCCGCCCCCCAAATCGCGACGGACGTGCATGTTTGTTGTGGTGGTGGTGGTCTCGTGTGTGTGTGTGTTCCCCCAAAAAAATCGGAAATTACAATGCATTTGTCATCTAGCTTTCTGCACGCGGGAACCGGGTTCCACACGACGAGCCTCCACAATGCTTGCACAATACGAGCTTCCAAAGTAGATGTGGCCCTTACGATGACTCTTTGAATGATAAAAGACATCCCTGTCAACGAGTTTGTTTTACGCTGAAGGCATAGTTATCAAGCAATCCTCACTAAAAGGTCGTCCTAACGGTAGTCATGGCAAGGACTCGTTACCACAAATTCTGCAGGAGTCCTTGCTAAAAAAACGACCTCACAAGGCAGCCCCTGTTAAAAGGAAGCATGCGTAATGAAACCCTACTACGGGGATCCTTACTGACGGGATGCTTACCACGTGCATTATCATTCGGTGTCCCTCACTCAACGAATCCGAGGATCCAACTTGAAGGGGCCCTTGCCAAGGACCCGTTGATGAACAGGCATCCCTTCTAACGAATGCTTACTGAGCTGAATGCACTGCTACCGACTGATATATGGTAATAATGCAGTCGTGGTAAGCAATCGTTGCCGCCTGACACAATTATCATTACAACGCAACGTCATTAAGCAGCCCTTGTTGAGATAAGCATGCGTAATGGCACCCTACTACAGGGATCCTTACTGAGGGGGGCTTACCACATACATTCTTATTCGGGTTCCCTCACTAAGCGAACCCTCGCTAAGGATGCCTTGGCAAATACGTCCTTACTGGCGAATGCTGACAACAAAAGCACCCCCCACTCCTCACTAAAGGGAGCCTTCCTTAGGGTTCCTTGATGCAGACATCCGTGTTCGTGATTGTGCATAGCGTAATCAATACTAGGGCCCCTCACTAAAAGGAATGCTTAGTAAGGACCCCATGCCTCTAGCATCCTGACTAAGGGTCTCCAGGCAAGACGCCAGTGGAGGCGTTCGCATGGCGTCCCATCGGTGTTTCATTGGCTGACCTTGCGTGAATGCGAAAGTGGGATGAGGGAGAGAAAACGAGAGGGAACGCGAGGGAGAGGGAGGGAGAGAGAGAGAGAGAGAGAGAAAGAGAGAGAGAGAGGAAACATCAACGAAAGATAGCAACCATTTCCTCCTGCCACTTCCCGTCTCAGTCTTGTGGGCTCTGTGAGAGAGCACCCAGCCTCCCCTCCCACTCCCTCGTTTCCCCTGACCCCTTACTCAGGGACTCCTTACTCAGGATCCCTTGCTGAAATTATCCGTACCACGGACTCCTTACTAAAAGGCATCCTTAGTAAGACCCTGGTAAAAAAAAGCATAATGAGCGATGAACCCTTGCTAGAGGGATCCGCACTCGGGGGATCCGTATTGGAATCATCAAAAGTAAGGCTTCCGCACTAAATGGAGCCGTACTGCGGTTTCTTTGTCAGAAAGACCCCTTGTGACGAATGCTTACCAATGGCGCCCCCACTCAGGATTCTCCAATAAGGATCCTTCCCCTGGTCGGTAGCCATTTTGGCTCAAGCCATTCGGGCTGAAGCTTCGCTCTGCAAGCTCTGCACTGCTCACATTCTGCCGAGATCTGCCACTTGTGGCATGGGCCAAGGAGCGCGTGGAGCTTGGGGAGGTCGGCGGCGAGGCGAGCGGGTCGGAGCAGTTCTTGGTCCAGGACGCTCGTGCCCGGCGCTCGCCCTGGCGAGCTGCGGGCGGCGCTGCCGCGGGTGCGCTGCCGCGGGTGCGCTGCTCCTGGCCGGCGTGGGCGGGGCGGCGGCGCATCTTGCGCTGCGCGGGGCGGCTTCCGGCGCGGGCCCCCGCCAGAGCAAGCAGCAGGCGATTGTCCTTCCCGCCATCAACCAGTGGGCCAACTGGGACGAGGACTGCACGGGGTGCTGCAGCGTGGCGGGCCTGACCCGCTTCCAGACCAAGACAGGCAAGGGCGAGTGCCTGAAGAGCTGCAGGCCCAGCGACAGCAAGCTCTGCAACCAGCCGCAAGAGATCGTGGAGCCGGCCTCGGGGGATGCTGCAGTGTACGACCCGACGTTGTATTGTTTGGCGATAGTCCTGCAGGACATCGGCAGCACGAAGAAGTACCACGATCCGGAGCTGCTCCAGGGAGCGTGTGACAAGGGGATCGGCATTTTTGGTTGTGATTCCTGCGGGGTCTTCAGCGACGCAGATGCCGATCTTGCGCCCAGCGTTCCGGTCACGAAGGTGAATGACGTCGACGGGGATTTCCACTTCGCGAAGCGGGAGGGAAGGAGACTGGCACCTGGCTGAACACTGCAGGCTTGGAAGGCAATTCAGGCAGAGGGCAAGTATGCAATTGCGAATTGGGTCGTGAATCTCGATGCGGACGCCGTCATGATCACGAGCCGGTTGAGGTACTGGCTGTCAGACAAGTACGTCCCGCCCCAGGGCATCTACCTCGAGAATTGCCAATACGTCTAGTATGGTTGGTTCGGCAGCCTGGAGATCTGCTCGAAGGTCGCGTCCGAGACGCTCCTGGGATCGATGGCCTCTTGCAAGAGCGGTGGGGTGGACTGGAAGGTGGGCATTCCTGGCGGCAAGTACAGGCCCATGGGCGAGGATCTGTTTGCGCAGACCTGCCTGGACGCGAACGGCGTCAAGCGTGGCATCGGATACGGCTCCGAACTGGACGGGACGTGCGAGGCGAATGGGCCCCTCTCGGAGAAGAAGAACGAGAAGCGGAAGCCCAACTGTGGCACCGTGCTGCGAGTCCACCAATGAGGGCGTTCCCGGTGTACCCGCCCCCCCTGATCTCGACGGCGGCCCCCCGTGGCGCCCATCGCCCCTCCGCACCTCGCTCTTGCCGCCCGGCCTCCCCGCGGCTGCCCGCCTCCCCACCTGGGAGGGGGTGCTGCAGCGATCTCCGAGCGCGTTCCACTGCTCGCAACTCCCCCGCGGCGGATCCAGGCCATTTGCGAGTCGCCACTCTGCGAGTAGTGGAACGCGCTCGTCTGAGCGAATTCGTTGGCGCCTGGTCGGGCGGGCGCGCGCTCTCGCGCTCGCCCGCGGCGCGAGGGCGTCGAGGCCTGGGCGCGCGGGCGCGCCCGCGCGAGGGCGAGGGGGGCCCCTTGCGCCCGCCCGTCCGCGCTGGACGGCCGCCGCTGCGCCAAAGTCGGCACGGCGGCGTGCTGCGTTC